ACATTTGGTTTCCGTTTGGAGGTTATACAAACACATGTTGCTAGTGCAGGGTGCTGGAAACATTAACTGGCTAAATGCAAATATTTAACGCGGTCTACCATCTTATACTTCGGTTTTATCATGTCAGAATGAGAGCTCTAGCAAGGGGAGGGCTGAGGACGCTTGACTTGGACAGACCATAAAACACCCCTGGAAGTCCAAAACACAGGCCGTCGCCCTCACGTCACACATGGGAAAACTGAGGCCCAGAGCCCCCAGCTCAGAACCGTCTAGAAGAACAACCTTGTTGCGTGTGGCCGGCGGCACCAGAGAGGTCTCGGGGGCTTCCACGTCACGGGAGTCCCCAGCCACGTGTGGCTACGGAACACCCCATGGCGGCGAGGGTGAACTGAGAACTCTAAACGTAAAACACACATCGGATTTCCAAGGCTCAGTACAAAAACGAATGTTAAATATCTCATTGATAATTTTTATATTCATTCCATGTTGAAATACTATGTTGGATACATTGACTAAATAAAATACGTTATTAAAACTAATGTGACCTCTTTTTTTTTACTGTTTTAAATGCAGCTATGAAAAATTTAAAATTACACATGAGACTCGCCTTATATTTCTACTGGCTACTGCTGTTCTAAGGCAAGTAAACACCTTTTATGCCAAGTAGGTGCTGGCTGATCCTGCAGCGGGAGCATTCCTGCTAGGTGTTTCGAAACAGCCTTGAGGAGTTTAGCTCATGCCCTCGGCAATGGCAATGACCTGAATCCAGCGGTCGGGGTGGGCGAGAGCCTACAGACGCACCCGACACCTGTTCCCCCCACCTCCCCCGCCAGCATAGTTCTGGATCCGTGGCCTTCCACTGAGTGGGGTCGGGGCAGTAATGAGAGGAGCACATCGGGGGCCTAGCATTTAGGATGAGAATGTCACACTAACTGTGGGCTCACTCCCTGTAAATCACCTTGATTTATCACCAAATTAGAAGGCGAGATGAAACATCCAGGAGGCAATGGAAGTCCAGCTGCAACAGCACCGTGAACCTGCTCTGATTTGCTGTGTAGAGAGGGCTTATCTCACATGAGCTTTGAGCACTAATGTTTCCAGGGTTGGGGGTGGGCTGAGGGGGCTCCAAGGACCCAATTCTATCCCTGAGCGGGCGTGAGTCAGCCCTCAGCGGCCAGGCTGCAGGCGGAGGCTGGGCTCTGCAGACTCTGCTCACCTGATCATCCCGCCTTCCCCAGGACCCGTGCCAAATGAGAATGATCCCCAGGTAACTTTGGTCCATCTGGGCTGGGCCTCCAGGGTCAGACTGAAGGACACTTTTGTGTAAGGTCCAAGCAAGTTCTGGAAGAGAAAATGCTAGGCCCTGTGGTGCCCGTGAATGGCAGTGTCTGTGGTGCCCCCCCCCTTCTGAAGAGACCTCTGCCAAGGGCCTCACCTGGGAACTCGGGGTGTACAGAATTCACCTGGAGACCAGAGGCGGCTGCTTCTGTCTTTGGCTCGCTGGGACCTTGAGGACGTTCCTCCATGTCTCTGGGGCCGGTCCCTTCCTTTAGACCCCTGCGGGGATGTTGGCCTTGGTGATGGCTCGGGTCTTCTGAACTCTCACATGCTTGATGACCTCATTCCGGCACACGGAGACGCACACACACACACAGAGCCAGAGACGGGTCTACTCCGGACTGTTTTCACCCCCAGTCCCCACACTGCTGCGCATGCCGGCAGCGTTCTGAGTATTTCCAGAGGTGGACAGCCTTCCCCTAGGTCCTGGCTGTCTTTGAACATTCGGCGCCAGTGTCCCCATTAGGGCGCATTCCTGGAGCCCTCTCAGCTCGACGCATGAGCTGTGCAATACTGCCCTATATTTGCACCCCTCCCTGTACTGAGTTCCTTGTGGATAGGGACTGATTTATTTATAAATTCCCAGAGACTCACATAGTCCATATCATAGAATGTCATAAACAAATATTGAATGAATGAATGAATGAATGAATGAATACGCGAATTAGGCAGACTGACTCAGCCCAAGAGAGTTCAGATTCTGCTCAGAGCCCAGCTCCACCCCCCCACCCCACCCCTTAGAAGGTCAACTTCTAGTGTGGGCTCCTGGTGACACCTAGCAACAGTTGCCATGGCAACCAAAAAGCACCATTTTCCCAGGGCAATTCTCCCCCACCCCTTGCCTTTCTCCACCTGGCTCAGCAGATCAGGGGGGCAGCCCTCCGGCTTCAGGAAGCAGTGGGAGCAGGAAGGCTCCCTGAGACAGCTGATCCTGTGGCCTGGCTCCAACCCCCTGGGGTAGGGATGTTGATGGGAGGGAGAAAATTGGATTGATGGAATCAGATGTGCTTGGGAGCTCTAAGAGGAGGGACAAACTGGACCATCTGGCAACAGAATCATAAGAGCAACCAGAGGGAAAGCTTATCGGGGGGTGCTCCGTGCCGCCAGGGAGCTGGGAGGAAATGCTGTCCCTGGGCATGGGTGGGTGCAGTACTGGGAAGGAGGGAGAGTTGGCCTGGGGGTACCATCCCAAAACTAGACTGCAGAGCCAGAACACTGTCTCCCGGGCCCACTCCCTTCAAGGACCCTGCACCAAGCCCCTGCTCTTCCTGGGACAGCTCCAGGCCAGGCGATACCCCTACAGTTTTGTTTTGTTCTTTTGCATTTATCTTCAGATAGAGTGGGAAGGAGAGAGGGAGGGAGAGAGAGAAACATCAATGTGAGAGAGACACATTGAGTGGCTGCCACCCACACGACCCCAACCAAGGCTGGGGACAAACTGCAACCGAGGTACGTGCCCTTAGCGAGAACCGAACCTGGGTCTCTCTGGTCTGCGAGCTGACGCTCTAACCGCTGGGCCAAACCGGCCAGGGCACCCCCTACAGTTTTTAAGGATCCCCTTTGTGAATGACCACCATTGCGTTCACGGTTCAGTGCCAGTCAGATCCCTGAGGGGAGAGCTCTGTGTGCTTTATTCATCAACGCATCCCCAGAGCCTCACGCAGTGCCTGGCTCGTGGTGTACAACAGGGGGTATAAATGAACGAAGAGCTGTTCTGAGACAAGAGGAGGGCAGTCCCCGGACGAGGGCGCTGGAGGAAAAGCCACCGAGGACCTCTCTGTGCAGGCTGCACTACATGGATGGACGTCTTTATGCAGGAAGAGGAAGCGAGGGCTCCCGAGGCCGAGTCACTTGCCAAGGTCCCAGGGATAAAGGGGTCAAGTCAGGATTTGAAAAGGCACAGGAGCAGAAAGATGTCTCCACACCTTCTCACACCTGGTTGCCTTGCACCCCCACACCCCCACCCCATGACTCTCTCCCAGGCGTCAGAAATCCTCCAGGTGAGAGCGGCCTTGCTCTGTCCTGGTCACCGTGGTGCCTGGCCCTGACGGATACATTACTGCCAGAGGGGTCCCAGCAGAGAGAATGCAGTGTCATCCGCAGCGAGGCCTTAGGGCAGCTACCACCTCAGAGAGGGGAATCGGCTTCATAAAGGCCCTCCCCCCCCCCGGAGCTGGCCTTGGCTCCTCCTGGCACACCACAGGACCTCGATGGAGCAGTGCAGTGATTCCCATGTATCGGGAGCTCCCCATGGGGCAGGCCCTGTCCTCAACTTTTATGTGAACTCACTTACTTAAATGTTCTCAATAACCCAAGGAGGTAAGTACTGTTCCGGTCCCCTTTCTACAGAAGAGGAAACCAAGCAACAGGGAGATTACTTTGGCCAAGGTCACACAGAGCAACCATATGACACAGCCCAGGTATGAACCCGGGGGGTCTGGCCAGAGCCCGAGCGCTACCATCACGCCAGTGTGCCTAGCTCATCAGGCAGAAAGATTCTGGCCTTTGGATTCTATTTGGTCTCCTCCACCTGAAGCTAGAGACATTGGATATGCGACGTAACCTCCCTGAGCAGAATGGAGAAGTGGGTGAGCAAGGAAGGATGCCCTAAACATGGACCCCTTTTCTCAGGTGTTGGCTGGCAGCCAGTCTCAGCCCAAAGGCACCCAGCTGCTGCTTTGCTTCCAAGCAAGAAACAGGGCCCCAGATGGACAGGGGTTAACAGCTTTGGGCAGCTTCTCAGTACACCTGCTTTGACTGGATGCTTGTGTCCACCTAAAATTCATATGCTGAAGCCCTAACCCCCAGGGTAATGGTGTGGAGGTGCAAGCTTTGGGAGGTAACTGAGTCATGAGGGCGGAACCTTCGTGATGGGACCCTCACCTTCCTAAGAAGTGACAGGGAGAAATGCCGTCTCTCTCAGCCACGTGAGGACACAGCGAGATCGCGACAAGCCGGGAAGTGGGCCCGCACCCGTAGATGAGTCTGCCAGCACCTTGCTCTCGGAATCCCCAGCTTCCAGAGCTATGAGAAGTAAACATGTACTGCTTAAGGCATCCGGTGTCTAGTCCCGAGCTAACAACACACCTTCGCCGCCAAGCTGGCCCAGACCTTGAGGCCCAGTGGTGAAACCGGGGCAGCTGAGCATCATTTCCTTACCTCTGAAATGGGACCGTGACAGCCCCTCCTGTTTGACATGAGGCTCAAGGGGACAATGCACGTCGAACGCTTGGCACAAAGGAGGTGCTCACAATCCGCAGTCCCCTTCCCCCATACCCCTCCCCCCGAGTTCCCCTGGAAAGAGTACCCCTGCTCGTCACCCAGCTAAATCCGGGAGCTGCAGTTGAGGTGGCAGAAAGTTCTGACTCCTGAAGTGTCAGGGCAGAGGCTCCAGTCTAGACCTTTATCACACTCCAAGTGCCCTGGGGAAGTCCAGGCGGCCCTGCCCACGCCTGGGCTCACAGCCCCATCTCTCGGCGGGAGCTTCTCCTCCAGCCAAGCCCCAGCCGGGATCCGGGCCAAGGAGCACCCTGTGGTTCTGTCAGGTGCCATCTGTCCAGACCTGCCTGGCTCACCTCCACTCCACGGGCCTAGACTCCTCCGTGCAGCATCCTCACCCCGCCCCTCAGAGCCTGTTGCCCCCTCCACCTGCAGTGAGCACACACCTTCGCAGTTTCAGAATCTCAAATCTGGGGGAGATCAGCTATCCTTTTATGACCAGAGAGGAGTGCACGGATGAGAGTTATCAGTCTATACTCCATCTGCAACGAGAGGTTCCTAGTATGTCTTTGGTTCCGGTTTTACCAACCTCTTAGGTTCATGTTTTTTAAGTTAAGAACAAGTTTTTTTTAAAAAAAACAAAACAAAAACACTGTACTAATTTTACTCATCGTGTGACCTTGGGCATATGCTCAATGTCTCGAAGATTCAGTTTTGCCTTTTGTAAAATGGGGAGAGGCCCAACTCACGTGCTATTGTGGGCTCATTGGAAGCAGATATTGCTAGAAGTGATCACAAAACCCTTTTCATATTGCAGCTCCCAAATAAATGTACCTGACAAAATGTAAAACAAACAATGACCTTTGATCCAGAATATGTAAGCACTATCTGTGGACACGTAAGCCAAAGCATACCGACATGTGTTTATATGTACATTCAAAACTGAAACCACACACCTGCTCTTTATCCGTCCGCTTTACAGCGAGTCGCTGTGAAACAGGTCCCAGGTGAGGAAAAGGTAGTTCCGATAAACCATTAGCAGAATAAAAAAGCACCGACGTGCAAAACAGCAGCTGCAAATGGGAAAGGGGATGGTGGTCGATGCCGGCACAGCTACAGGTCTGCAAGAGTACGTACGATCCATCTCTGCTGGAAGGATCCAGGAGACGCTGCTAACGGTATTCACCTCTGAGGAAATGGATTGAGGATGCAGGTGTGGGAGGCAACAGACTTCTGTTTTCTGTCTTCCCGAGTGTTTGAATATCCGTATCGTGTCTATATATTTATTTTAAGGACGACAGGTAGATAAAAATCTCTAAATTTATGGAGCCTAAGATCTTTACCAGGAAATTTAAGGTTTTAGTTAAGCAGAATAAAAAGAAAAACTGAAATGTTCTTCAGTTACTTCTTGCTCCGGCAGCGGCATTTGGCTGAGCGCTGCCTGGGGCCTGGCCCAGCTGGGACCACTGAGTCCGCTGGACCCCCTCGCTTCGGGGTCTTCATCTCAGACTGCTTCACTGGTATGGCCCGATCGGATCCCTCTCCTATGTTGGATCTTTTTACTTTTACCAACTTCAGTGAGATACAATTTACCTACCATATAGCTCACCCATTTAAAATGTATAATTCAATTGGTTTTGTTCAACCATCATCACAATGGGATATCTTTTAAAACAGGGCTCTCGTCTTAAATAATAATAACTTAATTTTCAACTAAACCACTCACAGTTTTCAACAGACTTTTCATCTGTGACACGTTGGGGGTCTACGTCATCTCTGACGGTAATGAGAGAGGGAAGTGGGGACATGGGTGCTAGGCTGGGACCTGCAGACAAGGGAGGGATGCCAGAGCCCGGAACAGTCACCAGCCTCCCAGAATGCCCTCCGGCAAGTGGCAGGCACTGCAGTGGTAGCTGCCAGAGGCAGGGTCTCTCTCACAGCCTTCTGCAGGAATAACATTGACTGATTAAGCCTCCCTCCCATCTCTCTCCCAGGACCCACAGCCAAACATGATGTTGCTTCACGTGTTAAATCTGGAGAAAAGCTACCTAAAACAGGCTGAAACAAACAAACGCCCTGACAGACTCCGTAACCGAGGAATAGAGCTATCTCGTAGCCGACCGCCCCCGACGTCTCACGCAGTCTTGGAGCCCCAGATCAGCTCTGTGGAAAGCAGTGAGGTGGGGGCTCTGGGCGTGCTCCCCCTGTTCTCCATCACTCAGCTGGTGACTGGGCTCCCCAGAACATCTACTGCAGAAGCCAGCACAATGCCGCAGAACAAAATACAGGCTGGGTTCATAATTTAACTTTGCCGCTTGCTAGTCGGGTACACTTGGCAAGTAACATAACCGACCTGTGCCTCAGTTTCCTCGGGTGTAAGGTAGGCATCGTGATGCACACCTAATTAGATAATACCTATGAAGGTGCCTGGCACACAGCTGCACTCGCCAACTGTAATTCCCTCATCCTCTTCTCTCCACTAAGAGCAAGCTCTGAGCTCAAAGCTGAGAGGAAGGATCGAGTGAGAGCCATCTCTGTCCTCAGGAGTTTAAAGAATACTTTGGGGGGAAAGGAGACAGATGTGGAACAAACAACTTTGGGGGGTCAAGGTGTAGGACAAGAGGATTGGTGAAGCTAACAAGTATGGCCACCTTGCTCATCCCCTCCTGCTTGGTTTCCCTTTCCACAACCTGCAGCCCAGTCCTCACCAGCCAGTCATGTCTCCCAGTGCTCTGCCACCTGTAGGCTCAGTCCTGCCCTGCCCCTGAGCCAATGTGAACCTGATCTGGCAGTGGGTTAGGGACAACTTTGTCAGAAGAGAGGGCTTATGTACCACCATCACCTCCACCATCACCTCCACCACCACCACCACCACCACCATCACCACCACCACCACCATCACCACCACCACCACCACCACCATCACCATCATCATCACCACCATCATCACCACCACCATCACCACCATCATCACCATCATCACCACCACCATCACCACCATCACCACCATCATCACCACCACCATCACCATCATCACCACCATCACCACCATCACCATCATCACCACCACCACCACCACCACCACCATCACCACCATCTCCACCACCACCATCACCACCACCGTCACCACCACCATCACCACCATCATCACCATCATCACCACCACCATCACCATCATCACCACCATCACCATCACCACCATCATCACCATTACCACCACCACCATCACCACTGTCACCACCACCATCACCACCATCACCATCATCACCACCATCACCATCATCACCACCAACACCATCATTCACACCATCAACACCACCTCCCACATCACAAGCATCACCACCCATAACCATCATCACCACCATCACCATCATCACCATCACCACCATCATCACCATTACCACCACCACCATCACCACTGTCACCACCACCATCACCACCATCACCATCATCACCATCACCACCATCATCACCATTACCACCACCACCATCACCACTGTCACCACCACCATCACCACCATCACCATCATCACCACCATCACCATCATCACCACCAACACCATCATCACCATTACCACCACCACCATCACCACTGTCACCACCACCATCACCACCATCACCACCACCATCACCACCATCATCATCACTATAGAACACTCCTCCCAAAGATTTCCCCTGCCCTAATCCCTAGAACCTGTGAGTATTTCACATGGCACAGGGACCTTGCTGATGCAGACCTCCAAGCAGGAGAGTAGCCTGGACTGTCCAGGTGGGCCCACTCCAGTCCCATGTGCAGTGAGGATAGAAAACTCCCTTCGATGGCAGAAGCAGCAGCAGAGGGACCTGAGAGGAAGTCAACCTCCCCCTGCAGGAAGGGTGATGTGGAAAGTCGAGAAGAGGTGCCGAGTGCGTCTCGAAGCAAAGCACAGCCGGCCGACAGTCAGTGGGAAGTGGGAGCCCAGCCCTTCAACACTGAGGAATGAGCTCAGCCAGCAACCCGAAGGAGCGGGGACACAGGCCTCCCCAGAGCCCCAGTATGAAGCGCAGCCTGCCAGCCCCTTGGTCTCAGCATGGAAGATGTAGCAGAGGGTGCGGTGGGTCCGCCCAGACTCCTGACCCACAGAATCTGAGCTACAAAATGGGTGTTCAGTTGCTAACTTTGTGCTGATTTGTTACATAGCAATAGAAAACAAATATAGTTACATGTGCCCTACTAACATGGTCATTACCACCAAATTACACCAAGTACCCCGCCATCACCATCACTCCCACTCACGACTGCCCCCCAATATCAACACCACCTCCACCACTCCCTCCACATCCCACCATCTTTATCATTGCCCCACCACCACCATCACCACCTCCATCCCATCTGCATCACCTGGGCCTCAGCCATCCCTATTCATCTCAACACTACTTAGCAACTAATGAGGCAGAAAGGGTTAACTCCGGGTCCCCAGGACCTGTGCACAGGGATTGTAGCGAATTCCCTTCTTCAGAAGGAAAAGGGCCTTGTTTCCCCCCTTGCCCTTCTTTCTAAGCAGCAGACTGCGGGCAGGTTGGCGGCCCCTGAGTCAGCAGCACCTGTGGCAAGTGCATGTCCGTAGCATTAGCAACTTTGGGCTGTTTGCTTTCCATTTGCTTTCCCTCCTGGCACTAAAAGCTCATTAGGGCTCTGACAGAAGAGAAATGGCTGGAGTGGGGAGAGAAACTGTTTGTTTCCCAGAAATTCTGCTCAGGGCTTCTACTGCCCGTTTTCTAGCAGGCTGGACCTGCAGTGACACCCCTGCCCCTCCCCCCCAGAGACAGCTCAGGCCCGCCCGGGGCGGGTGCATGCAGGGCAGGTCCGAGGCCCCCCATCCAGACCAAGGCAGTGCATCCCAGTCTTGCGTGGTTGAGAATCATTCACACCTAGACAGGGCTGCAATTTACCTGAGTACTATCTGGGAAACCACAGTCTGCTGAGCAAATAAACAGTGTAAATGAGGCTGGGGAGTGGGGGAGTGTTTAACCTACTTAAGGGAATCTCTTTCTTCACGCACTTCAGCTCCTTCCCTGTGCATGGAGGAGAATGACTTGCTGAACACAAGCCATTCCGAGCTGGCCAGCGTGGGGCCTCGGGGGCCTCCAAGGGACAGGACTTGGTTCTCAAGGCAGAGGCCCTGGGAGCCTCGCGGAAGAGGCTGCACGCTCAGGGGGTGACCCTGGCAGAGACGGACACCCAGCTCCCAGACCCCGCTCTGCCTGCGTGGGCCCCCAGGCGAGTGCCTTGCTCCCGCGGGGCCCCTGGGTCTGCATCTGGAAGGTAAGAGCGCCGAAGACATCGTCTCTGACCCAGCGCTGCCCTTGCTGCATTCCTAGTTTTTTTGCGGCATCACAGATATTTTTAAGAAGCTGATGCCGTTTGCTGAGCACGCGCTGTGTGCCAGACCCACTCTGGATGCCCTGACAGCCCAGGCGTGGAGAGTCACCAGCACCCACGGCACTGCCCGAGTCCTCTCTCCTTACCGCATGAGGCATGAGACCCCAGACCCACCCAGTGCCTCCTCCCTCCTCAGATGACCAGCTCCCCCTTCAGACCATCTCTAGGGTTCTCTCTAGCCCTAGAAATGTATATAATAGAAAAATGCTTTTCTGTTCTTTTTAAAATTTTTTTCTTTATTAATTTTTAGAGAAAGAGAAAGGGAGAGGGAGAGAAAGATAGAAACATCAATGAGAGAGAACATCGATTGACTGCCTCCTGCATGCCCCCCACTGGGGATTTGGCCCACTACCTGGGCATGTGCCCTGACCGGGAATTGAACCGGCGACCTCTCAGTGCATGCGTTGACATCCAACCACTGAGCCACACCAGCTGGGCTGAAAAATGCTTTTCTTATTAAATGTCTTTATATCCCACTGTTAACGGTGAGACAGACGGTATGAAGACAGCGTGCAGGAGACAAGAAGTCAGATTGGAGTTTCAGACCTGACTTGCTAATCATTTCACCATAGGCCCAGGGCATTTAGCCTCTTGGGACTCCAGTTTCCTGATCAATAAAATGGGAATAAAAATGCTGCCCTCGTGTGTGTCAGTAGAATGGTGTGAGGACCAGATGA